TGGAGGACAGGGGGCTGTCTGGGGCGGTGGGGGAATGGGGGGCACGATCAGGGTGTTGGGACAGTTTCGGAGCGACTAGGGGGAACTAAGGAGCTGGGATTAGGGACGAGAAAGAGTATTAGGGTCCGTTTAAGGGAGGTGGGGAGGAGTTTGGGGAAGACAGAGCTCATGAGGGAAGCTTGCGGGGGGGAGTCACGGGAGAAGATTGGGAGGTCAGGGGTAGGAAAGTGGGGAGCCGGAAGAGGGGCCCCTAGATGGGGTGAAGGGAGGCACGGGAAACTGAAAGTCGAGGGAAATCGGGAATCATAAGCGACAGGTGTGAGGTCAGGGAGTTCAGGGCAGATATTTGCAAGGCAGGGGAAGAGCTGAACTGTAGGGGGTACAAGAAGTGAGAGTTTGGGGGCGATAAGGGTCCCTGAGGGGAAGGAGGAGGCTGAAACGGGCAGGAAATGAGGGTGAATCAGAAGAGGGGGCGCCCTTGCCACTTCCAGGCTCCTGGAGGGAGGGGCGCTCCCTGCCCATTGTCCTTGGCCTGGCCAGGACGTCCGGTGACATTCCTGGGGACGCGACGTCGGGTTATGTAACACCGCCAGGCCCAAGAGAGGGGACGGAGTCAGGACTGCCGGGTTCCTTTCCACGCCCTGTCCCAAGGGAGGGACACGGGTCGGGATTCCCGAGCGGCTTGTGATGTCACAAGTGGGCGGAGTCCACCTAAGGCTCGAACTTGTTTTCTGGCTCCTCCCCTCCCCCCCAGTGGAAAAGCTAGGACTGGATCTGAGACCAGATCCAGGTGGGAAGGGGCGTCCCTAGCGAGGCGGTTGACTGAGGCGGCCTGATGGTCAAGCCTGAGTCCCAGAGCGTGCTGACCCCTTTCATTTGATTCATTCATTCAATTAAGATGTATTGAGCCCCTACTGTGTGCCTAGGTGATGGGGACACGGCAGCAAATAAAACAAGTCCCTGAGACTAGGAGTCCCTGGACTGACCCGATTCTGAGCCCGGGGAGACTACACCTCAGCTAGACCTCCTGGAAGCTGGACCTCTTTCACAAGACAGACCTCCAAGCGTGGATCCTCTCCCCAACCTCTAGGAGACCCTTCCCTACTGCAGGAGGCAGAACACATCTCAGTTCCCGAGTCCCTGGTCTCTGCATGACTGTAACCCTATCGCCTTTACCCCCCACCTCCAATCCCATGGCCTGTCACTTCCTCCTAGCCTCATCCCCCCCACAGGGCATGACTAGAGATGCTAGTTGTAACAGGCAGTTGGCGAATCACTCAGACGTCACAAGAGCTGACTGTGCTATCATCGTGTCCCTTAGATGTCATCAGACAGCCTCAGTCTCCTCCTATAAACACCTCTGGGGTCCTGTGAGCCTGAGGAGGGGGCACTGACCTGTTGCCAGTGCTACCTCGGCCCCCCAAAGGGACTGATTTACTTCCACCCAAACCCTTCATCGTTAAGGCTCTGGAAGGCACCTTCTTGGCTACCCTCACTCTTCTTCCAGGCAGCCTTCCTTCGACCACCTCTGATTCCCTGGGCTCTACCTCTGGCCTTTCAGACCTTCCCTCTCTGATCTCACCTCCTCCCATGCCATCCATTTTGAAAAGGCTTCAAAGCTAGGCTCTCAAACGGACACATCCCTGTACCTCTCCAAGCCTCAGTTTTCACCTCTCTAAAATGGGTACAGTAGTGGTCTCTGGCCCGCACACTGGGAAGAGTAATTTCAGTGAGGTCCCTTCTGTGACAGACTTAGCACAGCCTTAGCAGTCTTAAAGACTTCGTAAGAGCTCAGCGAATCCTTCTAGCCGAGGTACATAAATAGTTAACAGTGAGAAGTGGGGATCAAATTGGAGGAGGGTATATACCTTAAAAAAGTATGTACCAATATTTTCCAAAATTCCCGTTAAAAAATTATTTAAAAATTACCGTCTCTGGACTGACTTTGAAACTCTTCTGGGCATCCTCCACCCCGCTCCTTCCTCCTCCTGGGTTTCATCTAAGGGATGACCCCACCATCCATCCTGTCACCTGAGTGGATGCCTGGACCTCATCCAGGGTGCCTCCTTCCCTTCACAGCCTCTCAGCCACCAAGTCTGGTCCTTCCCGCCTCCTGTCTCTCAAATCTGCCCTTTCCTCCTCCTCCTCCCTAGGTCCAGGCCCCTTCCCACCTCCTCCCCTCCCGTCTACCTACAGGAGGCAACCAGAAGGTCTTACTAAAGTATAAACCCTCTCTCCTGCTCAGAACCTGCCGTGGCTCCCCAGTGCCCTTGGGGGAACAGTCCAGGCTTCTCGCCAGAGCCCATGGGCACAGTTTGGCTGATCCTTGCTGACTTTTCCAGCCTCCTAATTCCTTGATTCCCAAATATGTGATTCTTCTTGGCTTAAAGGATCTTCCAGTCCAATCTCTTTGCCTGGTGGGGACCTTACCACCACTTAAGCCTGTTTTCCATCCACGGCCAAGCACGTCCGCCTAAACCAACCTCTGTATACTACAGCCAGCTCCCTAGGGCCACACAGGACAGGGTAGTTTCTCTATCCTGTGATATTTCAGAGACTAGAAGATGCTGACAGTGTTGCCTTTGCACTTGAGGAAAATGCACGTGGTGTTGAGATCCTTGAGGCTGATTCTTGGAATAGGTACTGAAAGAGTCACAGGATATCAGATTGGGAAGGTGACTTAAAGGATCCAAATGCTAAAAGGAGACCTAGGCCCAGAGGGAGCAGGGTTCTAGCTGTTCCCACTGCCTGGAGCTATCGTGTCTAATCACTGATCTGTAAGGCAGGAAAGAATCCTCGAGCGATTGGGATTGGTGAACAAAACGATGGGTGCCAGGATGGGCCCCGACTCTGGTGACAGAGACCCCGACCTTGTTGACTTCAGACCTGCGTCTGTCCCCAGCCTGAGCCCAACCCTAGCCCTAGAGTGAATCTCAAAACTGGGCACAGGATGATGAAACTGGTTCCGACTCGGACCTAAGCCCACCCGGTCCACTACAGAAACAAGCCGAGAAGTCAGAGCTTCGCCCCCAGCCCTCTGCACGCTGGTTTCGTGTCGGACTTCCTGTGACCTCCCATCCTCCCCTCATAAGGTTGACTGAAAGGAACGAGATTGGTGCTGTGGGCGAGGAGGGTAAATAGGGACAGGGCTTCGGGCTGGGTAGGTTGGGAACACGGTTGGGGCGGACAAGGCTGGAAATGAAGATTAAGATAGGGAAGGGGGAGGGGGTAATGGTCAGAGATGCGGGATGAAGGGCGGGGGCCAGAAGACGGGGAGCGTAGGGGGATGGTGGGGAGAGGGAAGGGATGAAGCAAGGCAGGTGACAGGTTGGGGGATGCGGGTTGGGGTCGCGCTGGGTGCAGTGCGAACGCCAGGAAGGGTTGGGGACAGCGAGGCCCGGCTGGGCTCAGCACCCCCTCCCTCCCCGCTGCCTCCCTTTCCGCTCCCCGGAAGCGCTGAGTCGTCCTGCCTTTTCTGGGGGCCGCTATTTCGGGCTCGGCTCCGAGTGCGGCAACTATTTTTAGCCGCGCTCGGGTAAAAATGGAGCCGGCGTCGCGCGGGTTCCCGAGGCCGTGCGCGCCCCCCTTGCGAGAACGGGGGCCGGGGGCGCGCGCCTGAGTCACCGCCTCCCGCGGCCCCGCTGCGCCGCGAGGAGCACGGACCGCTGGCTCCGGACACCCCGCATCCGCTCGAACCTTCTGGGTCCCTGGGCACCTGGAAACCGGCAGGCTCAGAATATTCCAGGAACATCGCGACGCGTCCACCCGGCCTCCAGCGGCTGACGGCGGACTTTGGGGCAGAGGCGCCCCCTGGTGGTCCTACCGGGGATTGCAGGCAGGAGCTGGCCAGGATGAGTCCAGCCATTCTCCTCTCTACAAACCACCCCCCCACACACCTATTTCTAAATGAGGAAACTGAGGCAGGGAGAGGAACTGATTGGGACCTTGCAGCCTGAATTGCAAGGTACGGTCGTTCAGCTTCAGCCTGGACACCTCGACACCTCCCTTAGTGGCGAACTCACTACCTGTCAGACAAGTAGGTGCTATTTCTTTTTTTTTTTTTTTCTTTCTTTTTTTTAACGCCTACAGCACCTGGTCTTCCTAGGTGGTCTCCCATCCAAGTACTAACCAAGCCTGACCCTGCTTAGCTTCCGAGATCAGACAAGATCCAGCACGTTCATGGTGGCATGGCTGTAGACCTATTTCTTTTTATTAGTAGTATTTATCTAGTCATTCAACAAATCTTTGTCAGGAGTGCGCTGTGTGCTAGGCACTGTGCTAGGTGATGGGGACATAGCAGTGAAAAGGACAGACAGAGATGTCTACCCTCATGGGGCTGACATTCTAATAGGGGAGACAGTAAATACATAAGATGGTTTCAGATTGTGATAAGCACTGAGGGGAAAGTAAAATGGAATGATATAGTTTTTTAAAAAGGGGGGGATATTTTGGTAAGAGTAGTCAGGCAAGACTCCGGTTTAATTCAATCCTCTCATTCTATTTCACAGACCTGGAGACAGAAGCCTGGAGAGGACCCAGTTGAGGACTGAGCTTGAAGACTGTAGATTACATGAGTGTCCACTGCATAATTGTTCAGCTTCAGGTTGGTCCCATCCTGTGTCCAGGAGCTTGTTTCCTCCCAGCCTATAGATACCATCCGTCAGCAGTAGTAGTAATATCGATTACTATTTAAAAAATAATAATAATAGCTACTATTTATCCAGCACCTAGTCTGTGCCAAGCAGTCCACTAAGTGAGATATTGCTCCCACGCCCCATGAACGGATGAGGAAAACTGTTCCCCACATCCATTCTCTTCCGGCCACACTGGAGGGAAGAGACCGTGACCCAGGCCCAGCCAATCAGAGCATTCCAGGCCTTCTGCCCTCTGATGACAGTGATTGGTTCAGTGGTGGGCATGTGACCCATTTGGGCCCGTCAGTAATAGAACCACTGGGCAGGAGACCTTTCTTCCCTCTGGGGTCACCAGGAGGGTGAGGTGTGAGTACAGAGCTGCTGGCGCCATCTTTGCTACCTCAAGGAAGGTCTTTCTGAGAAAAATATCAGAGAAATTTGGAACCCAGAGCTTAGGCAGTGGCCTCATATCATTGTCACTTGAGATCCTGGGTCAAGCTGCTACTGAAGGTAGTCCTACCCCTTGACCTTTTATTATTGTTATTATTTATTCCTATAGCACCTGGTCTTCCTAGGTGGTCTCCCATCCAAGTCCTAACCAGGTCCGGCCCTGCTTGGCTTCCGAGATCAGACATCGGGCTTGTTCAGGGCGGCATGGCCGTAGACCATGGACTGTGGCTTGCACTGGGGCGCGAACCCAGGACCTTCTGTGTGTGAAGCAGACGTGCTGACCGCTATGCTATGGAGCCACGTCTTTGCCTTTTTTTTTTTTAACATGAGCCAATACATTTTCCTAAACCAGTTTGCACGTGGGAGACTCCTGATTAATTCACTTTCCCTCTTCGAGAGTCCCCAGGAACTGATCCTGACACTTTCCACTGCCCCTAGTCCTTGAGAATGGACCACCGTACCCCATTTGTCACACACTGCCCCCCTCCGCCCCCCGTGCAGGCACAGACAGCTCGTGTGCATCTGGGCTCCCCCCATCTGGGCAGGCACTCCTATGCGGACTCTAGGTCTGCTCATTTCTGTGTCCGTAGGAATAGACCAGGATCGGAACCTGGGCACCCAGGCTGCTCTCTGGCAGGGCCACTTTCCACAGTCACCACTGTCTAGTGGCGAGGTTACCCCACTGCACCCTCTACTCTCTTCCACTGTCAGGATTTCAGCCCTGTTTGGGCCCAGGAGGCCTCCCACTCCAGAACCAAGTGTCTAGCGGCTCTTGGATGCCTCCCCCTGGTGTCCCACAGGATTTCACCCGACCTCAACAACCTTCCTGTGCCTCTTCCTCCTGGGTCCCCGGCACAGGCATAGTCCCACACTGACCCCTTCTCCTAGACCAGAGGCCTGGGCCTCCTCCTGGATGTCATCTTCCATTTACCTCCCATACCTTTCCATTCAGTCTTAGAGATTTCATTGGTTCTCCCTCCCCACCTCCCACCACTTGATCCCCTATCCCTATTTCATCCTCCCTCCGCTCCTCCCTGCTCTCCTGCCTCAGGCCCACCAGCTCTCATCTAGCAGGATCTTGCCAAACCACGGACTGGTCCCTGTCAGGTCTTGGCCCTACTGGGAGCCCTCTGTGGCTCCTGGGTTCCAGTCTCCGACTTCCGTGCGAGGCCCGCGGTGACCTGCCGCCTTCTTCAAGCTCATCTCTTGCTCCCCGCTTACCCCAACGCACATTAACTCCGTCCTTGAATAATACCCAGACTGCTCGCCTTTTCCCAAGTGCATCATAGCTCAGCATGCCTCCCGACCTTGAACGGTCTGTTTCCTCTGCCCAGAATGCCTTTGCCGACTTTCTCTACCTAGCGAATATATTTCTCAGTCCTTCAAGGTCCAATCAACCATCCCCTCCCCCGAGAACCCTTGCGTGACTCCCTCCAAGCTAAGCCAGCCCCTCCCCTCAAGGGTAGGGGTGGCTCACTCTGCTCAGCAGTGTGTGCGAGGCGCCTTGTACACACGGTCTCATTGAGTTCCCCCCAGAACCCTCAGGGGCCAGAAACAAACAGTCCCAGCTCCAGGATGAAGAAACTGAGACTCAGAAGGGACAAGTGACTCATTGAAAGAATCGCAGGCCAGAGAGGGGACAGAGTCAGGATTTGAAGTCATGACCTCCCGCAGCCTGGCTCATCCAATTATGCTGAGTATTTATCTCGGTTTTGTAAGTTTTTATTTTATGACATTTTCAATAGAGGCACACACGTATTTAATTTATGAATAAAAAATATACTCCACGTAGAGTCCTGGGTGGCTTTGTGGCCTCTCTCAGTTAATAGCTTCTTCAGCTGTAGGTGTAAAAAAAAATAAAAATAAGGGATTGTAAACTGATAAGGTCCTTGCAATCTGTGAGGTCAACCAAGGGTTGCCTTGCCTTTTTTAAAAAAAATAGCTTCTTCATCTAGTGCCTCCTCCTCCTGGGTCCCCAGCACAGGTATAGTCAGTCCCACATCCAGGCATGACCAGAACAGGAAATTCAGCGCATCTTTAGAGGCCACATTTAAAAAGATTTCTTTTTTAATTGTTCAATTACAGTTGACATTCGATATCATGTTAGTTTCAGGTGTACAACATAGTGGTTAGACATTTCTATACCTTACGAAGTGATCACCCCATTAAGTCTAGTACCCACCTGGCACCATACACAGTTATTACAATATTATGGACTATATTCCCTATGCTATACTTTACATCCCCGTGACTATTTTGTAACTGCCAATTTATACTTCTTAATCCCTTCACCTTTTTCATCCACCTCCTAACTCCCCTCCTACTTGATAATCACGTTTGTTCTCTTTATCTATGAGTTTGTTTCTGTTTTGTTTATTTCTATTATTCTTTAGATTTCACATATAAGTGAGAGTATATGGTATTTGTTTTTCTCTGTTTGACTTTCACTTAGCACAATACCCTCTAGGTTTATCTACATTGTCACAAATGATAAGATTTTATTATTTTCCATGACCTAGCATATTCCATTTCTGGGTATTTACCCAAAGAAATTTAAAACACTAATTTGAAAAGGTACACTCAACCCTATGATCACTGCAGTGTTATTTACAATGGCCAAGATATGGAAGACCTTGGTTGACCTCACAGATTGCAAGGACCTTGTCAGTTTATAATCCCTTATTTTTTTATTTTTTACGCCTACAGCACTTGGTCTTCCTAGGTGGTCTCCCATCTAAGTACTCACCAGGCCCGACCCTGCTTAGCTTCTGAGATCAGACATGGGGCTTGTTCAGGGAGGCATGGCCGCAGACGGATTTCTTCAGATAAATACCCAGAAGTGGCATTGCTGGATTATACGGTAGTTCTGGTTTTAACTTTTTGAGGAACCTCCAAACTGTTTTCCATAGTGGCTGCCCCAATTTGCAACCCCACCGACAGTGCACAAGGGTTCCCTTTTCTCCACGTCCTCGTAAACACTTGTTGTTTGTCGATTTATTGATAATAGTCATTCTGACAGGCGATTGCTCATTGTGGTTTTCATTTGCATTTCTCTGACGGTTGGTGACGTTGAGCATCTTTTCATAAGTCCATTGGCCTTCCGTATGTCCCATTTGGAGAAGCGTCTAGTCAGGTCCTCTGCAGGCCATAATTTTGACATGAACATCAGTTATTGCTCCTCTTGAATGTGCTTCTGACACAGATTGTTCCAGAACACCACAAGAAATCCCAAGGCTCAGTGGCCCCAGAACAAATGCCCCTCCTCCCCGACACCTGATGTCCTCCCAGATGGAAAATACGCTGATGGCGAATTCCAGGGACCAGGGCTGTCCACGAGAAATATGATGTGAGTCACGTGTCTAAGTAACCTCACTAAAAAAAGGAAAAAAGAAACAGGTGAAAATAATTTTGTATATGTATTTTTTTAACCAGATATATGCGAAATATTTCAACATGTCCTCAGAATCAGCAATTATTGATGAGATATTTTACATTTTTATCGTGTCAAATCTTGGAAATCTGGTGTGAATTTTACACTCACTACACATCTCATTTTGGACCAGCCACGTTTTCAGTGCCGAAGAGCCACATGTGGCCAGCAGCACAGCAGGGGGCGATGGGCTGGCCATGGACCTGGGAGTGTGGCTTCCCCAAAGTCGAGACAGTGAGCTCCGGTTGACAGCGTGGCTCACAGTCAAGACCCCAGACTCTGAAGCCAAACTTTGGGGTTCAGATGCTAGTTCTGGAACTTCCAAGTGCAGCTCTAACCTCTCTGCACCTCAGTTTACTCTTCTATAAAAGGGGGCCTCACCAACGAAGCTTCGTAAGGATTTCGTGCATATTAAATTAACTCACAGATATTAAACAGTGAGAACAGGCCCTGGAACATATTAAGTACAGTATGAGTATTGCCTTTTATTATTTGAAATTTGTGAAAGAGAAAATCTCTTACTCTCATATTACCAGCTGAAGAATGAAAAACTCCTTTCAAATCTCCCCACCGTCAAAGTGGAGCTGTCCAGGGCAGGTGAGTGCGCACAGCCTGCACGAGACTCTGGGTTCTCAGGGGTCATGTGCCCGCCTCCATGGATGGAACCGGCGTGCGCGGTCACCAAGCTTTGGACGCCTCCCAGTCTGAACTCCCCACCTGTTTCCTTGTTCTCATTTTTTTTCTGTTTAGATCTGTGTAGTGGGTTGAACGGTGTCCGCCTCCCCTCCCAAGATATGTCCACCTGACACCTGTGAATGTGAGCTGGTTTGGAAAAAGGGTGATTAAGGTACGGACTTTGAGATGAGATCACTCTAGATTATCCAAATGGGTCCTAAACCCAACGGCAAGTGTCTTTATAAGAGACAGGAGGAGAAGACACAGACGCACAGAGAAGCCATGTGACGATGGAGGCAGAGACGGGAGCGGTGTAGCCACAAGCCCAGGATCGGCCGGAGCCACCAGAAGCTGGGAGCGGCGAGGATCCTCCCCTAGAATCTTCCGACGGAGTGTGGCCCTGCTGACACCTTGATTTCGGATTTCCGGCCCCCAGAACCGTGAGAGAAGAAATTTCTTTTGTTTTAACCAACCAAGTTTGTGGTGACTTGTTACGGCAGCCACAGGAAATGAATATAATAATCTGTCTGGGGACCCGTTTCTTCCTCCCTGAAAGCAGTTTCTGTGGCTTTTAGATGCCATCTCACAGGAGGGAACTAAGGCCTGGAAAGAGGGCGGAGCCGGAACCAGACCTCAGGCCCCCAGAACCTCATCCAAGTTCAGGGGTCACTGTGGAAACTTGCAGGGCATTTCGCCTGTTAGAAAAATGTAGAACGCTTATTGAGTTTTCTTTTAAGGCAGTGGTGGAGAACACAAACTTTGGTCGGAGTCCTGGTTCGGTTGCTCACTTGCTGTGTGGCCTTGGGCTAGAGGCTAACCTCTCTGTGCCTCCGTTTCCTTCTATAAAATGGGGATAATGAGATAAGTCATCTCAGAAGGTTGTGATGTGGAGTATATGAGAATCCATAGACTTTACTGGGAGTCTTTGCAAATGCTATAAGATGAGAAAAATAAATAAGGTATAAAAATTGGAAGGCGAGAGATAAAACTACCGTTTGGGTCATTTTCCAGGAAAAACTAAGAGAATCAACAGACTATTTTAATATGAGAATTTGCCCAGATTGCCTGTTAAAAGGTCAACCAACCATACTTAATAGCATCCATCAACTAGAAATTATAAGAGAAATAAGATAAAGGATTAATAAATTAGAAAAATGTCATCTGCGTGTACTGGTGACTTTCAGATTTCAATCTTAAGCCCACAGCTCCCTCCTGCCTACTGGTATTCCCCCTGGCGTGTCTTGATGGTTTCTCCAACGCTAAGGGGGCTCCGTCAGAATTCCCCGCCTTCCTCCCCAGCCTGCTCTCCTGGGTCACGTTACTGCCAGTCTCTCAAACCTAAGCATTCTTCTCGATTGCCCATCACCCTAGTCTAGGATGCCATCTGGTCTTTCCTGGCCAATTGCAGTGTCTTCCTCTCTGGGCTTTCTGTTTCCATCCTTGACCCGCTACAATTCATTCTCCACTCAGAATAAGGTCCAGAATACTTACCGCAGCCTTCGAGGCCTTATGTAATCTGGTCCCTTCGCTGCCCAGCCTTATTTCTTGTCACTCTCGCCCTTGCTCCCTGTGCTCCAGTCTTTTTTCTGTTTCTCAAACTCACGAAGCAATTTCCTACCACAGGGCCTTTGCACAAACTGTTCCTGCTTGTCTGGCCTGGAAAGCTCTCCCTCCTGTCTTTTCACCTTGCAGATTCCCGGTCATCCTTTATGTCACTTCTTTTTTTTTAGACGAAGCAACCCTTGGTTGACCTCACAGATTGCAGGGATCTTGTCAGTTTACAATCCCTTATTTTTTATTTTTATTTTTTATTTTTTTGAAGGGGAGGCAAGGCAACCCTTGGTTGACATCGCAGATTGCAAGGACCTTGTCAGCTTACAATCTCTTATTTTTTATTTTTATTTTATTTTATTTTATTTTATTTTTTACGTCTACAGCACCTGGTCTTCCTAGGTGGTCTCCTATCCAAGTACTAACCAGGTCAGACCCTGCTTAGCTTCCAAGATCGGATGGCATTGGGCTTGTTCAGGGTGGCATGGCCGTAGACTACAATCCCTTATTTTTTATGCTTATAGTATATGTCTCTTCTTAAGTGCTCCTTTGATGGAGAAACCTCTCCTGCCCTCCCATTTCCATCCCAGTTAAAATTATGTTCCCGCATTTTTGTTATTCTTGGCATTTGTCAGGTTTATATGATTATTAGTTCAGTGATTCTTAAACTTTTTGGTTACAGAGTCCCTTATGTTCTCAAAAATCATTGAGGACCCCAAAGAGTTTTTGTTAATGTGGATTATATCTATCACAATATTCACTATATTGGAAATGAAACTGGTGAATTAAAAACCACTTTTTGATTCATTTAAAAATAATACAAAACCGATTTTGTGTTAACATAAATCATACAGTTTTAATTAAGAGTGACCATATTTTCCAAATCAAAAAAAAAAATTAGTAGTTTAATTACTAAATTTAAAAAATTTAGTTTTTGCAAATTACTTTAGCTTCTGGCTCGACGGAAGACATCTGGGTCCTCACATCTGTCTGCTTCTGTGTTTAGTCTGTTACGACATTGTGCAAGCTGCATTGTAGACTCAGAAAAGAGTGAGTGAGAAAGGCAGGTGTCTTAATATTATTATGATTATCATTTTGACCTTGGGGTTCTCTTGAAGGATTACTGGGGACCCCCCTCCCCCAGGGTTCTGTGGACTGCACTTTGAGAATCTCTCCTTAGCTTTGGGTTCTCTAGGGCCTAAAGACAGCGTCCTGGGAACTAAAGACCTCTGGGGCCAGGCGACCTGGTTTAAGAGACAACCCTGACTACTAACAAAGTGAGCTACTAACGAGCCTCGGTTTCTTCATCTCTAACATGGGGGTGGTGACGATAAAAATAATGAAAGCACCTTCCCGCTAGGGTTGTAATGACACCCATAGGAGATGGTTCTCAGAATCTCACCTGGCACGTTGCATACGATAAACATTTGCTATTATAATTTGGAAAATGTCATTTTCTTTTATTATCAACACTTTATCCATGCAATCAATTTCTCCGGAGGCCTGTTTTTGTGCTGAGCAATGCTGGGGACACGGTGATGACTGAGAAGGGCCTGGCCCTGCCCTCATGGGGCTCCCGGTTCAGTGGGCCCGGGAGTTTTCATTTGTGAGAGATGGCCCTTAACACCAGGTCTCTGAAGAGCATGAGTTCTTAAGACTGAGTAGGCAGGGAAGGGTGGGAACAGCATGCAAGGAGCTAGGGCAAGTGGAGAGGGGACATGCTCTGGCCTGGTGACAGGCCGGGTTATTTTTCCGTTCCTCTGTGCCGGAGACGGCTCCATACTGTTTCTGGTGAGAGGCAGGCGTGCCTCTCCGGTTCGTCTCCTCTCCTCCCCGACCTCTCTTCCTGTACAAAGTTCTCGGATTCTGGGCTCTTCGAGGGAAGTCCCACCTCCGATCTAACTTCAGTCTCTCATGCTGCAGATCCCCCCCGTCTGCTGTATATCCATCCACGGTGGTGACCGGTGGAAACTCTGGACATCGCAGTCGAAGGGGTCCTAGGAGGGCGCGGGGTCGGGGCCAGGCGCCTCTACTGCCCCCCATCCGGGGGCCGCCACTCCGGGCTGGGTGAGTCAGCCCCCGCGGCTCCCGCGTCATCTCGGCCGCTCCTCTCGGCGCTATTTCGGGCTCCGGGCGCTATAAATAGAGGCTCGCCCAGCGGAGCCGCCCCCCTCCTCCCCGGGCCCCCCCTGCGTGCCCGACCCCGCAACGATCGCCGGGCCGCGCGTCACCGCGGCTAAGTTTAGAGGCGGGAGGGGATGCCGGCCCGGTCACTGCGCCCCGGTTTCCAGAGCCTTCGGCCCGGCTGCTCGCCACCCAGAGCCCCTCGGGCGGACGTGGGGTTGGGGTCTCCCCATAGTCTCCATCCCCACCGCACAGAGAAAATTGGAAGTTAGGATAAGGGAAAGGTTCAGGAGTGGGGCAGGGGTCGGACTCGAGACGCCGGGGAACTTGGGCTGCGACTGGAGTTTGAACTTGGAGCTTTTGTGGGAAGGAAGCGGAATCAGAGTGTGGGCCGCTGGAAGATTCGAACTCACAACTCTGGGAGCTGGGCGGACTCAAATCCGCGACCCGAGAGCTCAATTTGCGAATCGAGTGTAGAAATCAAACTTGCAAGTAACGTAGAACCGAGGGCAACAGCGCCCTCGACCTTAACTAATGTAAACAGGCTCAGAGTTTATTAACTGCACGCGGCGGGGTCTTTGTTGCACTTTTGAAACAGAGAAAGGAGTCGGGAGAAGCAAAAGGGCCGCATGCCGCTTTCTGGGGGTGGGGGGTGTCTTGTTCCCTTGCGGGTCCTGGCGGAGCGCTCAGGGTGTCCTCTTGTGGGGCGCTATCGCCCCCTGGCGGCAAAGGCGTGAGTTGCAGGCCTGTTTGGCAGTTCTTTCCCCAGGGGGAGAAACTGAGTCCCGCCCTGGTTGGACTCTTAGAAATCCTCTCTGCCCTCGGATTCAAAGACACATTTCTATGATCCTTCTCTATGTCGCTGGGGCTCGGTTCCCTCATCTGTCAAATGAGCTAATAATATCTAAGGGGAAGGTTGTTGTGAGGCTTTAGCTCATAGCAAGAGCTCACTCTACAGCAGGCCCCGGGGGCGGGGTGGGGGGAAGGTACGTCCAAGACCCCCAGTGGGTGCCTCAAAGGCAGATAGTACCCAACCCCGTATATACTATGGTTTTTCCTATACATACCTATGACAGTTTATGTACATTAGGCACAATTAGAGATTAATAATAACTAATAAAACAGAACTATAACAATACTTTTACTGTAATAAAAGTTATGTGAATGTGGTTTCTGTCTCTCAAAATAGTTTATTGTACTGTATTCAACTTTTCAGTCAAACGAAGCACCTTATGGCCTCTCTTTGGCGTGTCTTAAACTGCCAGCCTCGCTACTTTCGTGCTTTGGGGCCATTATTAAGTAAAATAAGGGTGACTCAAACATAAGCACTGTGGTACTGTGACAGTCAATCTGATAACCAAGACAGCTACTAAGTGACTAACGGGCAGGGAATGTATACAACGTGGACGCACTGGACAAAGGAATGATTCATGTCCGGGTGGGACGGAGCAGGATGGTGCAAGGTTTCGTCACGCTACTCAGAATGGTACACAATTTAAAACTTATAAATTGTTTATTTCTGGAATTTTCCATTTAATATTTTTGGACCGCGGGGGACCACAGGTTAACTGAAACTGCAGAAAGCAGGACCGTGGATAAGGGAGGACTACTGTGTTTTGATGGTACTCTAGTTGATGGCAATATTTCTTACTTACAGAGCCCTCCTGTCTGCGATTGTGTGGCTCCCTCCCCCATCGCCTGCTTCACGCCATGGCGTTTTATCTTCTTCGTAGCATGTATGGCTGTCTGGAACTCTTATTTATGTGTTTCCTTCTTAGGTCGGCTCCACAGGGCAGGGACCTGATCTGATTTGCTCACAGCTGTGTCCCCAGTGCCTGGCACACAGTAGGTGCTCTATACGTAATTATTCAGGGAATGAATGAACCAGTCCATCTCAAGACAGGTCTCCGTGGTTTCAGTGAATCCTCACGACCTCAGCAGTTACAGATGGGGAAACTAAGGCTCCCGGCATTGAAGTCACTTGCCTTAGGCTTGGCGTCTGTTCTTTGTTCATTCACACAGCATCTGAGTTGGTAGCTGCTTCTGGGTGCCAGGCCCTGTGTAGAGGCACCGTGATACAGCAGTAGCCACAACAGCTCCTGCCGCCCAGGACTTGGTCAAGGGCTATTTTATTTGTATGACAAACCCAAATATAGTACCATGTGCCTGGTACAGTTACACGTAATTCATTCCATCCTCGTAATAATTGTACTATTGTTATCCTCATTTTAGAGATGAGCACACTGACACACACGCGGAAGCAACTCAGCTGCTAGTAAGTGACCCTAGGGAAAAATTACACCCCAGGATTAATACTGCTTATGAAGAAAGGAGAACTGGGGGATGGTAGTCTTCTCACTGGCAACCCAGACTTTGAGATTCCTATTGTGAAAGTGAAATAAAAGATATTTTCAGATGAGCAAGACTCAGAGAGTTACTATTCACAACGGTCTCTGAGAGAATTACAGAAGGATGTACTTTAGCAAGAGGTAAAAGGTATTCAGAAGGAGAGAGGTTATAAAAAGTAACAGAACCCTTCTGTCCTCTCCAAAGGATGTCCTGAAGTCCTGACCTCAGAATGTGACCATATTTGGAATAAGGTCTCTACAGAGGTAATCGAGTTAAAATGAGCTCATTGGGGCGGACCCTAATCCAATATGACTGATGTCCTTATAAAACAGGGAAATTTGGACACAGAGACAGACACACCCAGAGGGAAAATGATGTGAAGAGACATGTGGGGATGACTGCCATCTACAAGCCAAGGGACAGAAGCTAGGAGAGAGGCCTGCAACGGATTCTTCCTATGCCTTAATTTTGGACTCCCAGCTTCCAGAACTGTGAGACAATCAATTTCTGTTCTTTAAGCCACCTGGTTTTTGATGCCCTGTTACAGCAGTCCTAGGAAACTAATACAAAAATGTATTCATGAATCAACTGTATAAATATATATTTTTTTACAGTAGGCTCCTAACAAAAGCTGGAATTAATGGAGAGATAGAGACATGTTCATGAGTATGAAAAAGGTATCCATCAATTCAGTGCAGTTCCAATCTCTATCCCAATAGGATTTGTCACGGAACTAGAAAAGCAGCTGCTAAAATCCATCTAGAAGGGAAAATGTACAAGAATGGTAAAGACAAGATTTGAAACTGATCAGAGGGGGGACTTTGCCTGATGTTATGTCAAAATATATCAAAATAAAATAATGAGACAGTATGACATGGAGGCAAGAAACAGATATGTATATATATATATACATATGTCAGTGAAACATAATGGAAATGTCAGAATACCAGCATATATACGGAAATTTGGTACATGATAAAGACGGACTATTAAAACTGGGGGGAAAAAAACTGGGGAGAAATTGACTTTTAAAATCAATGGTACTGGGACAATTTCTACATCCATTACACATTCCTACTTTAGCGCATTTTAAAGAAACAAGTCTCCTATGAATTAAAGACAGAAACAAAACCAAAACTAGGAAAATATTAAAAGAAATGATAGAATATATTTATGACCTTGGGGTATGGCAGGCTTCTTAAACAACACAACAAAAACAAAAATCATATGTAATAGATTGATAAATACATATGAGTAAACACTACGAGCTTCTGTGTGACAAAAATAAATAAGCAAATGAAGTTCAAATACAAAGTACAAACTAGAAGGAAATATTTGGAATATATGTAACTGACTAAGAGTTAGAATCGGAAACCATAAAGCACTCCTACAAATTAATAGTAATAAAAAAGGCATTCAGCCCCATTTAAAAAATGGGTAAAGGATATGAGCAAGCAATTCACAGAAGACAAATATATAAGACCAATAAACTCACAAAAACATGTTCCCTCTCCTTAGTAATCAGAGTTACAAGTTAGAACAGCGTGATACTATCCTTTCAGGAAATGACTAATACTAACTCATCAACCGGGTCTCTGTTCAGATGTCCCTTCCTCCAGGAAGCCTTTCCTGACCTTCAGGCTGGGTTAGACACCCCCCACCCCGCACCCCCACGATGCACACCTTGCCACTGTCCCCTGGGGTCTCCAATCCCAGCCCTGCCCGCTCTGGGTCGTCACTGTTTGGAACCCGGTCTGTCTTTCCCACTGGACTGTGAGCTCCAGCGCGGGGCTCTCGTTAGTCACCGGTGTGTCACTTAGCGCTGTCCCGCACAGGGCCGGGAACAGAGGAGGCGCTTGGGGAATACGTGTGAAATAAATGAATGAATTGGGGAAACTGTCAATGGCAGAGCCGGCATTAAACCCAAGGCTGTACAGAAGGAAGGGACCTAATCTGATCTCCCACCATCTCTTCTTCACTGACCCGGGTCCGGAGCCCGAGCACCCAAAAAGCGCTCGATCAGGGCATTGAACTTGAGCCGCTTGGCAACCAGAGACGCTCAGGCGCGTCAACCCAAACGTCCGCAGTCCTCCACGACCATAGAGAGCTGAGCCGGGGCGGCGCTCTGGGGCACGGAGAGGGCGGGCTCGAGGGCTAGAGAGGCCGGAAGGGCGCCGAGGCTCCGGGTGCCCTGGCCGCGCCCGCGGGGCAGCGCCTGGTCCTCCTCCTGCGCCTTCCCCGCGGCCCGGGGGCGTGGAAGTGAGTCCTCCCGGGGCCGCGGCGGCCGGGCCGGGGCTGTCAGGTGGATGCGATGGAGCGAGGGGAGGGCCCCTGGGTGCAAGGCCGGGAGCGGGGCGGACGGAGGGCCGGGCGGCGGCCGAGCCCGGCGCCGGGAAGGCGGGGAACGGTGAGGGCGGAGCGAATCGAACTTGGGGCCTTGCGGGGCGGGGCGGGTGGGAGCCGTGCGCCCCGAGGGGGCCGCGCGAGCCCCGTCGCAGGTGGAGGCCCCATCCGGCGGGGCTCTCTGGAGCCCGGGGCGCTGGGTGTTTGCAACCTGATGCTGTGGAGCCCTGGGATTTGGGGGGTTGACGGCTGTGAGTGGTGGTGGGGGGTCCCTGCGCGGGGTGGTGGGAATGCAGACGCTGATGTCTCCCTCCCGCCGCCACGTCTTCATTTACAGGCCCCAGAAGGACCTTGGGATGGACGAGGAGGGCGTGCGACAGCCCACTGGGCCACCCACGAAGAAGAAATTCTTCATACCCCTGGACGAGGATGCGGTCCCTCCTGCTGGGGTAGGACGGGGAGATGGGAGGACCGCTGTGAGGCCCCGGGAGCGGGGCGTTGGAAAGAAGGGGCCCGTGGGGCCACAGCGGGTTAGGACATGTTGGGCCCGGGGTCACCCTGGGAAACAGTCCTTTGCTCTGCACAAGTCTCAGTTTCTCTGTGTAAAATGTCGCGTGGTTCCAAGAGGCAGAGGCTGCAAGCTAGCATCCAACAAATGACTGGGAATGTGTCTTACGTGACCAGCACTCTGGAATTTATTTCTGACCTTTAAGGAAGAGTTTTGCAAAAATAAAAAAGTAAAAAAGCAAAAAAGCCTGCACTTTTGATATCTTTTGGTAAATCGAAGGATCTGGCAGCTCTGAGACTGTGTTTTCAAGGAAAACAGCTGGCTGGTGCTCCATGCTGGCTGCGCCTGATGCGCTATGAAGGAAAAGAAAGGATATGGTTTGTGACGGGGAGAGGTGCTACCTTAGGAGGACCATCGAGGGTCTGCCACTCTGAGGAGGTGACGTCTGGGCAGACGTGTGAAAGAAGTGAGAGAGTGAGCATTCTCTGGAGAGATGGAACGGCCAGTGCAAAGGCCCTGGGGTCAGAGACAGCCTGACAAGTTTGAGGGCAGCAAGGCCAGTGGGGCTGGAGTAGAGAAAGCAAGGGGGAAGAGGTAGGAAGGGAGGTCCCCGAGGCAAGGGGCAGGGACAGGTGTTCTAGACTCTCGTGGACTATGGCAATAGCTTTGGCTTTTACAGGAGCCACCTGAGAGCTCCGAGCAGAGGAGGAACATGATATGACAGTGTGGGGGACAGACTTGGGGGGTGGCGGGTAAGGGTGTAGTCAGGGAGCTGGTGAGGAGGTGATGACAGTGGTCCAAGGGAGGCAAGATGGTGGCTGGGAACAGAGTAGAGGCCAAGGAGTGGAGAGAAGCGGCGAGATTCAGATTTTGATCCTACCTCCACCCTGTCTCCCCCCACAGGCCAAGCCCTTATTCAGATCCACACGGAGCCATCCCACCGTGGAGACCTCGGCTCAGGCAGCCCCTCAGACCTACGCAGAGTATGCCATCTCGGGACCTGCAGGAGGAGCTGGAGCCACGCATCCTACCGGGCCAGAACCCCAGGCAGGCGAGACCCCCAACCAGGCCCTCAAACCAGGGACAAAATCTAACAGCATCATCGTGAGCCCCCGTCAGGTGAGGGGGGCGCTGGAGAAGTGGGGCTCTGAGGTTTTCGGTGGAAAACATGACGATGGCTATGGCTTTCTGACGGGCAGTGACAGGACATCCGAGTTTTAGCCATTGTACTGTTGGCAGCCGCGTGCATCCATTCAACCACTATGTGTGGGTTGAGAATGCCCGTATTTGATCATAGACAAGGTGGCTTAAACAGTAAACATTCATTTCTCACAGTTCTGGAGGCTGGGAAGACCAAGGTCAAGGCACCAGCAGATTTGATGTGTGGTGAGGTTCATAGACGATGGTCTTCTTCCTGTGTCCTCACAGTGAAGGAAGGGGCCAGGGAGCTCTCTGGGGTCTCTTTGATGAGGACACTAATTCTGTTCATGAGGGCTCCACCTTCATGACTAGTTACCTCCCCTCACCTCCTAATACCAACATATACATTTTGAGGGGACGGAAGCACCGAGTCCATAACACCCCAGCTCTTCTTGTTGGGGGCGTGACTCTGATAGTGCAGCTACATTTCCTGTCCCTGGATTTTGTTCGTTTGTTCAAAAACTATTGAACACAGGTCTGAGTTCGAATCGTGCTCTGCTACACAGTAGCTCAGATCTTGACCAAGTGACTTAACTCATCTGCGCCTTTAAAATAGGGGTTCCGCAGGTGTGTTCAGAGGTTGCCAGGTGCTGTTCTAGGCTCTGGGGATATAGCGATGGGAAGGAAACAGATAAAGTCCCTATCACCGATGGAGCTGGCATTCTTTACACAAAGACAATAATAAGACCTGAGGATGTGAATAGATAGTCAGCCATCAGGGAAATGCACATCAAAACCACGATGAGATCCGACTTCACACCTCCTAAGATGTCTGTCGTCAAAAGGACAGGCAGTAACGGGCTGTGTGGCTGTGGAGGCATCGGAACTCTCAGACGCTGCTGGTGGGAATGTAAAATGGTGCAGTCACTTTGGAAAACATTCTAGCAGCTGCTCAAACACTTTAACGTAGAATTAGTGTATGACCCAGCAAGTCTACTTCTAGGCGTATATCCAAGAGAAATGAAAATACACGTCTACACAGAATCGTTATTCACAATAGCCCCAAAGTGGACACAACTCAAATGCCCGTCAGCTGATGACTGACTGACTTCACCTGGCATAATGAAGGTTCATCCATGTTGTAGCAGGTGTCAGCGTTGCTTCGTTCCTTTTCATTGCTAAATAGTATTCCAGTCTGTGGATGTGCCGCGTTTTGTTTATTGGTTCACCCACTGATGGATAATCCATTGGGCTGTTCGTACTTTTGATTATTGTGAAAATGATGCTGTGAACATTTGCGTCCAGGTTTTGGTGTAGATATATGTTTTCAGTTCTCTTGAGCATTTATCTAGCAGTGGACTCGCTAGGTCACGTGGTAACTGCTTAACTTTTTCAGGAACCTCCAAACTTTTCTAAAAGGCTGCGTCATTTTCCATCCCTACCAGCAGGGGGCGAAATTTCCACTTTTGCCATATCCTCACCTGTTGTTGTCTGGTTTTGATTTTGGCCACTTCCTTTAAAAATTAAAATAGGATCCTTCCCCTCCCTCGTTCAAAGCCTTTCCATGGCTCTTAGGTGCCTCCGATGAGATGGCCCAGGGCTGCTGGGACTTGGGACCCCGCAGACCATTCTCGCCCCACTGTGAGAGCAGGAGAGCCGGCCCCACCCACTCATGGGACCAAGCTCCACCTCACTTGACAATTACACATTCATCCCTGAGATTATTTTGCTTAACGTCTGTGTCCTCCGCAAGGGTAGGAGGACTGTCCTGGTCACTACTGTAGACACACAGTAGCTGCTCAATAAGTACTTATTGGCTCGATTAGAGCTTGAATTGCACAGAGAATTTTAGTCTTGAGCTATGGGGTATAGTCAGGATGGAGCATGAGAGAGAGGAGCCTGCTGAGCAGATGCTGGACCGGGGGGCCCTGACCTGTGGGGAGTCACAGGCCGGGCCTACACTTCCTCCTGCAGGTAGGGGGGAGCCACGGCAGTGTTTAGAGCAGGAGAGAGGCAGGTTTGTGCTTTTGGAGGACCCCTCCAGCTACTCTTTGGGGGCGGCCAGGATGGAACAGCACTGGAGCAGGGGACCGGGGTGGCGGGGGTGAGGTGGGGGCCTGGGCCGGGGCTGTGGCATTGGGGATGCTTACCTGGAGGAGGAGGGGGAGACGAAGTGGCCATGATCAGGCCTGGGTCTCTCCAAGGTGGGGCCATCCTGAGATGGGGCCAGGAGGAGGAGTAGGTGTGGGGGCTGATACTGAGGGCAGTTTGGACACAGTGAGGTGGACGTCCAGGGGGAAGCGTCTGGAAGATCACAGGACACCCAGGTGGGGCTAGGGGAGAAGGCTGAGCTGGAAACGGATCTGGGACTGGGGCTGGGGGGAGGGGCCTCCTTGGAGCTGGAGCACCAAGGACGTTGGAGGTTGGGGAGGACGAGTCTGGGGAGGGGAGGAGACTGAGGGAAGCCGTGCTTGGAGCCCCGGGCGGGGCAGGAGGAGGGCAGGTGGATGAGAGAGGTGGGGTGAGTGCCGGGTGGCGGTGGTCCCCGGGGCCTCCCTGTCAGTGGCTTTGGCTCTTCTTCCCCCCAGAGGGGCAACCCCGTGCTGAAGTTTGTGCGCAATGTGCCCTGGGAGTTTGGTGACGTGGTTCCGGACTACGTGCTGGGCCAGAGCACCTGCGCCCTGTTCCTCAGGTGAGCTTGGTCTCTGGGCTGTTCTGTAGGAGCCGTGCGGGTGTGGGCTGTCGGCTCCGGGCCTAGGCGCGTCCCTGCGTGTGAGGGGGTCGGGGCCTGTGGTGCCCAGAATGGACGTTAAGACCTGGGGTCCCTGACTCTGGGTCTGAGGGCGGAGGGACTGGGTCACTCGTGTCCTAGACTAAGTGGCTCCAACGTCCTGGACTGGAGTTGACGAGAGCCACGGTTTCTCCACCACCCAGTCCTGGGGCCCCCTTTCCAGACAGAGCCAGAGGCGGAAGTGAAGCTTCTCAGTTCTCGCCCTCCCTACAGGGAATGAGAGCTGGCGGCTGCTGGGCAGAGATGGCCCCAGTGCCCCGGGTGGAGAATCCCGCCCCCCCATCTCTGCCAGAGTCCAGCGAGGCCAAAGCCCGCAGTCCTGGGGACAGCCCTGCTTCCCAAGACCAGCCCCGCAGCATCCCCTGGTCCACAGTCTCTAGGGTGCTGGTCTCCTCTCCACCCAAAACCCACATCTCTTCCATCTTCAGAGAAGAACCTGGGGGGCCAACCTCCCAGGGGGCCAGAGCCAAGCAGCGCTCGCTACCAAACCCCTCTGTGTCCCTTCCGTGAAGGGTGACCTTGGGCAAGTCATTCCCCCTCTGAGCCTCAGGTCCCGGTAAGGCCGCCCAAGCCCTCTGCATCGCAGCAAGAGCGAAGCAGGGCTCCCGGGGGCTAAGGGACGTCCCAAGCCCTGAGCCTCAGGTCCCGGTAAGGCCGCCCAAGCCCTCTACATCGCAGCAAGAGCGAAGCCCCGGGGGCTAAGGGACGTCCCAAGCCCGGCCTCTCCTCCGCCCGCAGCCTCCGCTACCACAACCTCCACCCGGACTACATCCACGGGCGGCTGCAGAGCCTCGGGAAGAGCTTCGCCCTGCGTGTGCTGCTCGTCCAGGTGGACGTGGTAAGCAGGGGTCCCTCGCCCGCCAGCCTCACTGTCCCCGTCTAGAAATGGGGTGCATGGGGCCTCACGGCGGCAAAGTGGACTGTCGAACCCCTTCCAAGGAGAAGTGTGGGTTGAAAACTCGGTGAGGACCCGTTTTTCACACCTGAGGTTGACAGCCCCTCCCCCTCCCGTGCTGTCTGGCCCCAGCCCTCCGCCATCTCCATGTTTCTCGAATCAGTTTTATCCTTTCTGACCTCACAGCCCGGCCCGCTCTAGGCCCCCTCTCCCACTTGGGTCCCTGCCTCGGCCTCTTCCCTTGTCTCATGGCCTCTAGCCCGGACCCTTCCCATCTTTGAAGCAGCTGGAGGGGTCTTCCTAAAGCACAGATCTCGTGTCAGAACCCCGAAATGGCTCCCTGTTTCCATGGCCCAGGAGGCCCGACGTGACTTGACCCGCACCCAGCTCCCTGGGCTCATGTCTAAGCTTCCATGTGGTCACCCTTCGTTTTAGACCCTCTGTCCCGCATTGAGTGAATCGCAGTTCTGCAAACCCTCTTTCGCCTGCCATCCCTGCATATGCTCTTTCCCATGTCCGAGAGTCCCTTTTCTGCTCTCCTTTGCTGCCTTTACTCCTCCTCATCCTCCTTTAGGTCTCACTCAGATGTCCCCTCCTCCAGGAAGCTCTCCCCGATCCCTCAGGCAGGTCAGACACTCCTCTGGCTCCCCCACCCCAGCCCTAGCCACTCTGGGTCATCACTGTCTCAGACGGGTCTGTCCCTCTCTTCAGACTGTGAGCCCCAGGAGGGCAGAGCTGGGGCTGTCTCGGTCACCGTTGAGTCCTGGCACTGCCCGGCACAGTCCAGGCACCCAGCTGGAGCTTAGGGAGTGTCATTTGACTGGAAGGCTCCTGGCATCCTAAGATTGTAATTCCTTGTTTGCTTCTACATCTCTCATTCTGATTTTCTTCTCTGCCCAGAAAGACCCTCAGCGGGCCCTCAAGGATCTGGCTAAGATGTGCATCCTGGCCGACTGCACCCTGGTCCTTGCCTGGAGGTGAGACTGCCACCTCCCCCACCCCCTCCCCAGGTCGGGCTCTATCCTGAGAGTCACTCCCCTCCCCCAGCCTCCTCAGTCCTTCCCTTCCCTTCCTGTGACCTCTCGTGACCTCTCTCCGTGTGAGCCTGGTCCGGGCACTGGTTCTCTCTGGGCCTCAATTCCTTCATCTGTAAAACAGGGTCCCAGTGCCTTTCATACAGGGAGGCCGGCACAGAGGCAGGCAGTGCAGCTCAGAGTCCCAGGACCATCCCAGGCACTTAGGAGTGAGACGTAAAATCTGGCCGAGTCGTTAATTCCACGTCTAGGTTTTTAAAGACCATTTAGATTGGTTCTCCACTTGGGAAAAAAAGGTATCCCTTCCTCACAGCATCAGCCAAATAAATCTTGAAACATTCTACAATAAAAGCGTTACAGGGAATCTTACCTTGGGGTAGGAAAAGCCTTCCAAAGCAAGACGCAAACCCCCAAATCCATAAAAGAAAAGGTCAGCTGATCCGAGACTATTTAAACTTCTAGATGGTAAAAGACACTGTAAACAAAGTTAAAAGGCAAATGACAAACTAAGAAAAAAGACTTGCTGTGTGTATAACAGACTTAAGATCCCTGATTTATATATAGACATAAATTTATATCGTACAAATGTATTTAAATTCATATGAATATATTTAAATGTATTTGTTATATATATCCTACTAGTCAGTAGGAAAAGGTGGCCAGATTTTTTTAAATGTTTAATACAGGTGGCCAAAAACACATGAAAATTTCGTCAATCACATAGCTTACCAGGAAAAAAGTAAATTTTGAAAAACGAGGTGCCATTTTGTACCCATTAGTTTGGCGAAAACGTCAAGATGGGTAATTCGAAACTGGCACTTGCCTGTTTGCTTGACAGGAGGAAACAAAATAGTAAAACAGAAAATAGGCACAAAAATTCCTGCACTCAAAATTTTTCCTTCCTAACGAGCCCTGCTTGTGTGTGCAAACCCACTGTGATACGTTAGGTCAGAATCATCGAGAAGCGGCAGAACCCAGCAGCAGCCTGTTGTTATTTATATAAAAAAAGGCAGGAAACAGCTGTGTTTATGAACAGATGTGATGTGAGTACACAGCAGGGGCTCCAGGCCGTGGACCCCTGGGGAGCACACGAGGAGTAGGCACTAAGGGGAGAGGACTTTCATTCGTCTGTTTTGCTGCCGAATGTATCATGGTTAAACTTTATTTTGTTAGGGAATAGGTAACCCGCCCATGGAGTTCAAAACTCGGAAGTGATACAAAATCAGAATGTGTCTACATCAGCACATACTTACACACGCACACGCACTGTATACATACAGCCGGCAATATGTGCACAGAGAAGTTTCTCTCCTCTGCCCCTTCCTCCCGTTCCACTCCTCCCGACCCCACGGGTAACCGCTGTCGTTGGTTTCTTGATTTCTTTTCAATGTTTCTACAAAACGCAAACAGGTAGAAGCATCTTAGTTTTCTTACTTTCTTAGCAGCATACTGTGTACAGACACTCCTCAACTTTACCTCCCAATAAACCCGGCGTAAGTAGAAAATATCATGAGGCAAAATGGATTTAACACACCTAAGACCATCAGAGCTTCGTCTAGCTGGTTCCCACTGTGTATCGCTTTCGCGTGGTCGTAAAATCGAAAAATTCGAAGTCGAACCATCGTGAGTCAGAAGCCGTCTGTATGCTGTTTGTGCCTCGCGTTGTCGTTATCGGGAGGCTTTTTCTACATCGGTATGGAGGGCAGCCTTGTTCTTTTTTTTACAGCCGTGTGGTGTTCCAGTGTAGCATCCACATTTAAAAAAAATGAATAGACTATTTTTTAGAGCAGTTTTAAATGTATAGAAAAATCGATCGGAAAGTGCAGAGTCCTGCACAGCCCCTTCTCCCGCCGCAGACAATCTGTCATTTCCATCTCCTTTAATCAGTGTATTTTTGTTATAATCGATGAACCGATACTGACATGTTATTATTGTGAACTGCTGAAGCCCGTAGTTTACACTCAGGTTCACTCCGTCTTGTACATTCTGTGGGTCTTGACAAAGGTATGACGTGTGTCCGTGATTACTGTCCCCTACACAATAGTTTCGCCTGTTTCCCTTGCTCCCCCTCACCCCTGGCGACCACTAATCTTTTGATCGTCTCCATAGTTTTGCCTTTTCCAGAATGTCCTAGAGTTGGAATCACAGGACGCAGCTGGAACAGTCCTCGCGTATAGGGGGAACCCAGTCCCCCCCCAGGACTCCCCCACTGTGGCTCTTTGTCCTTTCTCTTCCACTTTCACACAGCACACTTCACTTCCGGCCGTCAAGCGCGTGGAGGCTTTTCCCCACAGCAAGCAATTCTCTGCGACACCAGCTGAGCATCCTACAATTTAACTCAGTTCTGACTGTCTACCCAGAGATAGAGTCAGACCCCACAGGCTCAGGCCTCAGTCCCACAAGACTGCCGACCACACACTTCAGACGCCAGACCCCGGCTGTAGATCGGAGGTTCCCACGACCCGCTCCTCGGGGTCGATTCATTTGCTAGAGGGTCTCACAGAACTCAGAGAAACACTTGGGTTAACCGGCTTGTTAAAGGGTAGGATAAAGGATGCAGATGAACAGCTAGGTGAGGTCTGGGAGGGTCCCAAGTGCAGGAGTTTCTGTCCCGGAGGAGGTGGGGTGAGTCACCATGCGGGTGTGGACGCGTTCCCAGGCTGGAAGCTCTCGCAGCCTTGTACTATCACACTTCATGGAGGCGGCCTCAGTGGGCCTGGTCAATTATTAACTCCATTTCCAGCTCTGGAGGGTGGGGGTTGGGGCAGAAACTCGCAAGCTTCTAATCACGGCTTGGACTTTCTGGGGACCAGCCTCCATCCTGGAGCCCACGGAGAGTCACCTTGTTAGAACAAATGCTCCCACTCAGGAATCTGCAAGGGTTTCGGGAGCCCTGTGCCCGGAGGCAGGCTGAGGCCAGCAGAGATCTGTTCTCTCGCAGTGGCCTCTCCAGCTTGTCTTTCTCTTCACGACATGCTTTTAAGCCCCCTCCATGTCTTTTCGTGGCTCCGTAACTCATTTTTAGTCACTGGATAATATCCCATTGTCCGGATCCACATTCTTTTTCAGCTGCTAAGTATCCCATCGAGTAGATGGACCGGTCATTAGCCCCGTGTTGGTGGACACTTGGGTAGTTTCTGGCCTTTGCCGTCGCCATCAGCGCTCCCGTTTCTGCCCTGAACCCCAGGCATGGGATTTTTAGGCCAAAGGGTAAAGGTTTTTGTGCTTCTGTGCCCTTCGCCCTGGTGTGTGCCCCTCTATACTGCCTGAGTATTTAGAAAATGTGTTTATGTATTACTTGTATATTAAAAACAAGTGTAAAAATGACTCCATCTTGTGGGAAGTAGCACAGCGTGGTGTCGAGAGCCCCCAGGGAACTGTCTGTCCTTGCCAGCTGTGTAGTCTTGGGCAAGTGACTCAACCCCACTGGTCTCAGTTTCCCCCTTTGTATAATGGTTTGAAAATAGTAACTGCCTTACCGGATCTCTCTGGAGATGCCAGAAGCTTCTGAACATAATGCGCTCAGCACACTGCCTGGCATGAAGCTAGGCTGTTGTGTGGGGAATATTTCCTGTCTTTACATCCAAACGATGGGATATTTTGCAACCGTTAAATAAACGAGGTCGAGCGCTGCCCGCTGACGCGGGAAGATGTCCTGATTCTAACACAAAAACGACAGCAAATTGTAGAACCGGATTACAGCGTGCAACTTACGTGTCCTGAACAAATGACTAATTACAATAATAGTGAGAGAAAAGCGGCAGAGCCCATTTAATGGAAAACAAGAGAATTAGAAAATGAATGTTTCTTTGAAGGATATAAATCATCATTTAATCAACAAACATTGCTTGCTAGCTGGATTTTGAAAGCTAAGAAAATGCCTCACGACAAATACTTTATTTACTGTGACTCGACTCAGTATTCTCAAATTCCAGAGACAAGAAAGGCCAGCGTTTTCCTGGTGCTGATGAGCTTGAGTTACTTTATTCCAGACACATGTAGACTCTTTTTATGATTTAGTTGTTTCCACTGCCTTTGAAGCAGTTACTTACATGTCAGAAAACGACGTCTGATGTGAAAATTAATGGCGATTATTAAATCATGTTCGTTGCTGTAGAGGATTCAGCAGTCAGCGCCCAGAGCTTTCTTTTTGACGGTGGGCTACGTAAAAACCTCCAGCAGCTGTTCTTCTTGGTGGCGGGGAGCTGAATGCTTTTGAGGTTTGCTTCCTGTGGTTGGGCAAAGAAACGGTCGTTCTGGTCCCCCGCCACCCCCTGCCAGCTCCCCCAAACCTTGGTGCAGATGCTCCGGCACTGACTTTCCTTTCAGAATCGCCAGCAGTTCTTAAAGAGGCTTCTAAGTGCCAGGCACTTATAGAGCGTTGACCCATTTGTCACAGTTCCGTCATCCGCCCCGCTTTACAGATGAGGAAACTGAGGCCCAAAGAGATTAAAATCACCGGCCCAGGGTCATTCAGGTGGGAAGTGGGGCCTGAACCCCACGGTCAGGCCACTAAGCTCTAGAGGGCCCTTAGCCGGAAGAGACGTGTGAGATGCTCCCAGGGGGTACGGCCAGGGGGCATTTAGCGGCGTCGACAATGTTCATTTTTCTATAGGGTTCGGAATTTTTAGCATCAGCAGTTACTATGCCATTATGAAATGGATGTAAAACGCGACCCCTCCTCACCCCAGCTGACCCGAATGTCCTCTCGCCCCAGCCCTGAGGAGGCGGGGAGATACCTGGAGACCTACAAGGCCTACGAGCAGAAGCCGGCGGACCTCCTGATGGAGAAGCTGGAGCAGGACTTCGTGTCCCGGGTGAGGCCACCTCCCTCCCTGCCCGGGCCTCCCCCAGTGTGTCCCTGAGTGTTTGAGCTTCAGTTCTGATCTCCAGTCATCTCTCCTCCCCAATCCCACCCTCAGCTCCCAGTGTCCCCTCTCCCTCCCGAAGAGCAGCTAGAGGGTTCTTCCTAAGCACAGACCCGAGCCTGTCTTCCCTGGCTCGAAACCCTCCCGTGCTCCCCAGTGCCTCAGGCAAAGCCCTGCCTGTTTGGCCCAGCTGCCCTGTCCACCCCCTGCCCTCACATGCTGTCACTTCTTCTGGGCCTCGCTAGCTGCTCTTGGTATGTGCCCATCCTGTTCCCTCTGCCTGATCACCTGCCTAATCCCATCTTTCACATCTGAGCTCATGCTGCCTTCTCCAGGAAGCCTTCCCTGATCCCCAGGCCAGGTCAAGTGCCCCTACTGGACTCCCCCATCCCAGCCCTGCCCATCTGGGTCACCACTGACTGGAACTGATTTGTCTCTTGCACTGGACTGGGAGCCCCAGGAGGGCAGGCCTGGGGCCGTCTCGGTCCCTGCCATGTCCCCAGCAGCCCCCAGCACTCGGTGCTCATTATTTGCTGAATGAATTGTTGAATCTAGGCTCCAACAAGAGTAATGGTGGATGTCTACAGCTACCCCTGTACTATTAAGATCCCCATTTGCCTGAAAACGAGAGGCCCAGAGAGGTCAGTTCCCGTGCCTAGGTCTCACAGTGTGCACAGTGGGGCCTGGTTTTGGACCCAGGTCCAAGTCCAGACCATAGTCTTCCCCTTGGCTGAATCAGCTCGAAGTAAATGGTATTTATCTTCCCATCATGTGACCGATACCCTCTCAGCTACTCGGGGATCACTCCGAGATGACCTTTCAACCAGTCCCCCCCCCAAAAAAAAGGCATTTACTGAGCGCCTCCTACACGCGGGGCAGTCTGGGGACCGCAGTGGCCCGGCGCCGCCCTCACGGTTCATCCTGCTCTTCTTTCTTCTCCCCGCTCCCTCCCCTCCCAGGTGACCGAATGTCTGACCACCGTGAAGTCGGTCAACAAAACGGACAGTCAGACGCTCCTGACTACTTTTGGGGTAAGGGACAACTCCCCTATCCCAACAGGCATTTCTGCCCCCTTGCCTTTTCAAGGAAGTGCCCCCACATCCTTCCTGCCTCCCCTGTCCTCCCCCAGGACCTCACCTCCTTCCGGGAATGTCTCGGACCCCGGACCCGCTGGGGCAGCGTAGGGCGTTGTGCTTGCCTCCCCTGACCCTTACTCCCTCCTTCCTCAGTCTCTGGAACAGCTCATAGCTGCATCCCGGGAAGATCTGGCCTTGTGCCCGGGCCTGGGGCCCCAGAAGGTAAGAATGGGCTTGAGGGGTCAGGGGCAGGAGCGGGCCCCAAAGTAGTGGCTCCCTGGGTTCCAAAGTCTAAGGTTTCTGAAGTCCCAGAGTACCTCTCCTACAGATGGGGAAAACCAAGGCCCGGAGAGAGCGGGGACCAGGCCGGCCTCACACAGCCGGCCTGGGAGAGAATCCAGACTGGGCTGCTTCTCTCCTAGTCCCCAGGGCCCCCTCCAGGCTGGGAGAAGAAGAACCAAAGCCCACTCTGATGTACCCAACGAATGGCTCATTTAATGACAGTTCCTTGTTTCTTTCCCCCCACCTCCCCGCCAGGCCCGCAGGCTGTTTGATGTCCTACACGAGCCCTTCTTGAAAGTGCCCTAATGACCTCAGTTGCCAAGGAGGCCCTTGGTGTAATAATAAAGCATTTTCCCAGTCCAGACTCCTGGTGTGCTGGTACAGTCACTGGGAGGGGGCTCTTCTCTCCCCTCTGATGGCCCAGCTGGCCACCTCGGCTCTTAGTTGCAGTCACCACTTTCCCTGGGAACTACACAGGATCCTGCTGCAGCTTCTTCTTCTTCTTTTTCTCCCGTCCCGTGGGAGCCACCTCCCCAGACTCTGGATTCAGTGGCAGCTCCGGTATGTCCTCCTGGGATGCTGTCTCTGGTCCCCAGCTTTCCTGGCCCCGCTTCTTCCTCTTCTTGGTGGATGCTGGATCTGACTTGGCCTTGGGCTCCCCCTCATCTGGCAGCTCAGGCTCCGTTATCTCACCGTGGAGGTTAATCATGTCAGTCCCTGGCTCTGTCGCTTTGTGCCCTCTGTCTTTTTTCTTCTTGGTGGATGCTGGAGCTGCCTGAGGGTCGTCACCTGGCAGCTCAGGTACCGTCGCCTCTTCTTGTGTCTCCACCACCTCTGCCTTTGGCTCCATCGCTGGATTTTGCCATTTGTCTTTCTTCCTCCTCTTTTTGGTGGACGCCAGAGCTGCTTCGGCCTGAGGCTCAGCTTCAAGCGGCAGTTCAGACTCCATCATCTCCCCTCGGAGCTCCAGAGGTCTCATCTCTGGCTCTGTAGCCTCGGTCGCCGGCTCCATCAGCACTTTGTGTCCCTTTTCTCTTTTCTTCTTCTTCAAGGATGGCAGTGGGATGTCTTCCTCCCGTGGCTCCATCTTCACCTGCAGCTGAGACTCTGCTGTCATCCCCTCCAGTGGCTCCGTCCCTTCTTTCTCCTTGTGTCTCTTCCTTTTCTTGGTTGGGGATAGGACTGTTTCTTCTAGAGGCTCAGTTTTAACCGTGAGTTCCAGCTCCACTGTCTTTGCTTCTGGCTCTAGCATCCCCACTTCTGGCTCGACCATGTCTGTCTGTCTGGACTTCTTTTTCTTCTTGCTGGTGGATGGAGACAGCACTCCCAGAGGTTCCAGCATCTCAGCTGTGGGCTCTGCCGCCACCAGCTCCATCACTTCCGGTTCTTTTAGCTGCTGCTTTTTTCTCTTCCTCCCCGCATCCATCTTTGGCGACCCTAAACCTGTGTCCACCTCCAGGGTCCCATGCCCATTCATTGCCTCCTGAGGAAAGGAGGCCTCGGGCTTATGCTTCTTCTTTTTCCTCTTCCCGGAGGTTGGGGACCCCAGTGCCAGGACTGACCCAGGCCCTGTGACTGGTGGGCTGCCTCCAAAAGCACAGAACCGAGGCCTCAGGCCAGGAGGGATCTGTGGTGGGGGGCTTGCCGGAATGGTCTGCAACAGGGTCCCTGATGGGGATTCGTGGGGACCCTCTAAGATCCTCAGGCTGCCCTGGGGGGCTGGGGCACAGGTGAGTCCGCCTCCTGCCTCTACCGAAGGGGCCAGCAGGGTTGCTTCTCCAGCCTGGGGGCCACTGCTGCTGAGGACCCGGTAGCGGTGCCGCTTGCCTGCCAACTTGCCCTTCACAATCTGGGAGCCACAGAGAGGCACGAGCCGGCCATTGAGGCTGAAAGAAGGGGAGGGCAGAAGCTTGGTCAGACTCTTGCTGGGGCAGGGGAAAGGAGCTGAGGAGCAGCATTTCTGGGTTTCTTAGGACAAGCCCCTCTAAACTGCTCCCCCCCCCCCCCCAGTTTAGCCACTGAGGTGGGGAGTATTCCCGGGAGGCGGTCTGGGACCACTTACCAGTCTGGGGGGAAGTCTACAGGGGCCTGGATCAGCCACAGTTCCGTATCTGGGCTCCTAAATGCCTCCAAAGAGAAATGAGTGGGCTCTGAGGCTGGGGGCGTCGCAGTAAAGTTGGGGGGACAAGAGAACCGAGCAGCGCCTGCAGAAGGGGAAACGGGTGTCTGTTGACACTTTCCTGCCGGTCCAATCCTCCAGGACGCCTATCGGTCCTTTGGTCCCAACTTCTTAGGCGCCGGAATGCCCTCACCCATTTCATCATCTCCGACAGCCTCTCCGACAGCCAGTTCCCCCTGGGGGCGCCCTTACCACCGGCAGTCTCCCCAAGATACCCTTTCTCCGTCCACTTCCCGAACCCCCGCCCTCCACGAGACATACTTTTCGCAAATCCTGTTTCCAGAGGTGTCCCTTTTTCCTTCCGAACACCCCCGGGCGCCCCTTATTCCTCCCGCCAGTCAACCCTCTGCACCCCGTCCGCCTGCCTTGAAGCAACTCACCGCCGGACGAGGCCCCCGCCATCCCAGTACCCACGCCACACGCAACACCGGCATCCAGAGCCGCTCTGGCCCCGCCGCCGACCACGTGGAACCAAGGGGTGGGACCTCACCCAGGAGCGCCCAAGTGGCGCGGGAGCGCGGGGGTGTCGCTCAGAGCCCGCTCTCTCTATGAGCACAACTGGGGAAAATTTGCACTTGTGCGGAGCAGATAACCGAAGAAGACGTCTTTTCCCGAAAGTTCACTCCAGAACGCACGTGATTTGATGTCTGGCGGAGGCAGAGCCCCGCTACGTCCCAGCGGGCATTCCCCCCGTCAGTCTTAGACATTATTTGCTCCAACGTCGTCTTAAAGGGGCAGCCACATTTATAGGACCTAACCCTTAAAGAGACAGGAAGATCGATTGGTCTGAAATTCTTAAAGAGATAGGTAAGAGTCTTGGCTGGCAGGGCTGTGCTTTTCGTGTTTACAGTCTCTTTCAGGGAGGCCCAGGTGTCTCGGAAGTTCAGAACTTCAGTGAAAGGGGTGAGAAAACGGAGGAAAGGGGGTAATTCCTCCTAAGTGCTTGGGGTACCAGCCAGGGGCGGGGCTTGTGGACTCCAAGGGAGCGGGAAACATAGGGGGCGGAGCCTGTGGGTCCCCGGTGGAGCCTCCAGACTCGGGAGCCAGCCACGCGTGGAGTCGTGCGGGCTAAGGAGCGAGGCTTGTGGGTCAAATGAGGCGGGTAGATGGCCCCGAGTATTTAGTCTCGTGCGTGGGGCACATTCCCGAAGTCTGAGTAAGGGAGAGGGAGCAGGCCTGACCAGCACCCCATCCCAGTTCAGGGGCGCGAGTAAACAGCGGCACGTGGACCCAGATTCGGGGGACGCGCCCACGCCCCTTTCCCACGGGGACCGCATCGCGTGGGGGTGGCAGGCGGAGCCGCCAGACGGCGGCTAGACAGGGTGACCCGACTGCATTCCTGGCCGGTGTGTCAGCGCCGCTTCCTGACCCCTCTGCCCAGATTTCGGATCCTGCTCTAGAATCGGGCGCTTTCCTTCTCAGGGAGCGAGCGGCTTCCCAGAGCGGAGGGAGGGTCAGGGGAAGGGGACGCTTTCCCTCCACGCGGGATCGCCTGAAGATCCCTGCGCCTGGACGACACACCCGGGAGCCGCCCCTATGGGTTCCGCGACTACAATTCCCAGAGGACGCGAGGCGGGGAGGTGCCCGACGTCTGTCGCGCAGGCTGCTGGGGAGTGTAGTTCCAGCCTTGGGCGCTGTTGCTGGGAAATTCTGTAAGGATCCAATCCATCCTTTTTACCGACGGGGAGACTGAGGCTCAGAGAGTAGAAGGAAGACTGATTTGGCGAGGCCCAATTCTCGCCCTAAAGGCGGGGCATGTGAGTCTCCCCCAGCCTCTAACCTTCTATCCCTTTGGTGGCGTCCAAATTTTCATTCGGTGGGAAACTGGGTCTGGAGGGGTGAGGCAGGGACTCGGAGTCCGTCTCTTGCAACCACAGCGAGGTAGGAGTCTGGACTCTATTTCTATGACCAGGTCCCCTTCGGCTTCTGGGCCTCGCCCTTCCTGTCTGTGAAATGGATTTTTGATGAATCCAAATGAGAACGTCTCAGTCTGCGCCCTGCCCCTCTGGGACTACAAGTCCCAAGGTGCTCGAGGCGACCCCGGCTCCCCCACCCCTCTGGGACCCGCCTCCGTCCAGCAGGAGTCACGTCGTCTAACCTGTTCCCGGCGCCTGCCCCGCCCCGTCCTCCGCTCCCTGCAGCCGGAGCCGGAGCTGGAGGAAGCCCTCCGGTGCCAGGATCTGCCTCGGATCCGTGAGTTCCACCCCTCTGGGGTCCCGCGGCTTTGGAGGAGCCCTACGCCCCGTCCCTGGGAGGACTGGGAGGGGACTCGGACGCCGGGTCCTGGGGCGGCATTGGGGGTGCGCAGATGCCAGGGTCCTTGGAAGGGGAGGACTCGGATACTTAATTTACTGAGCAGAAGGAAAGAGGGCCCGGATGCCTGAGTTCTTGGATTGGAGGGCTGGGGCGCCTTGCTCCTGGGGTGACGTTGGAGCTGGGACTCCTGAGTCCCTCGAATTGGGGGCTTTCGGAAGCCTGAGTCTTTGAGTAGTATTTGGGTAGCGGAGACCTTGGGCAGAAATGGGTGGCTCGGCCGGCTGGGACTCTGGAACTGGCGGCCATCCCTGCCGCCCTTCAGCTAGCTGCCCTCTCGGCCGAGCTTCTAGGTCTCCGAGAAGAATTAAGGGTGAAGTGGGAGTACTGGAACCGGGGTCCCTGATGTGGAACAGGACAAGCACCCGAAGTACCTCTGGAGGCTGTGTCCTGACGCTTTCCCCCCTTTCTGGCTCTGGGGTGGGGACAGGGTGGGGGGTAACCAGGGCAGATCTCCAACCTCCTCTGTGCCGCTGTGCGATCCCCAACATGTCATTAAGCCAGGCGTCGGACCTGCCTAACCAGAGACGGACCTCCGCCCCAGGGCGCCCCCTGGCGCGGGCGGGGTGCCTCCTCTTTCTCCATGGGGGTAGGAAACATCTGGGGGGTGCAGACGGCCAGCCGGCGTTCTAGATAGAACCCAGGGCAGAATTCCAGAAGGCGGGATTGGATTCTGGGAGGTTTGCATGGCTGGGCGCTACACAGTTCTTACACGGAGAGCTTGGGGGTAAACTAAGGCTTGGGGGTCATAGAGTTGAGAGTCAAGATCTGGCGACCCCCTCCCTCTGCAGCTGTCTCGGGCGATGGGATTCCATGCACTCCCACCAGATTTTCTGACTAACCTTCTCCTAGGGCTCCTCACCCTGACCCCGAGGTGAGAAATGTCACCTCCACCCCCATCTGTCTGACCTGAGGTAGCGTGGGAGATAAGTGAGGGATAGAGGCTAATTCTGGAGGTGTGCGTCTGTCCTTGAAACAGGGGGAGGGCAGGGCCCACACCTCCCTCTGTCTGTCTCTCCCTCCTCTCCACCCCCATGTGTCATGTGAAGGGATTAAACAAGGGGGCGGGGAGGGAAGGGGCTCTGAGGAGAGAGGGGAGAGCTTCCTGAAGTCTGGCCTTGAAGGGCATCTGGTGATAGCCCGCGATGACATTAAAAACAATAACCATGTGTGCCAAGACAGAGCTCACAGCATGCCAGGCTCAGGGCTGGCAGGTAGACGGAATAGTTCTCATTGTCTCAGGCAACTGTCCAAAGGTGTCACTTGCACTGACTGAGGTTTGCTGACCCCACCCTAGGGAATGACTTCTCTCTACTCCAGTGGGGAAACCGAGGCTGGGGAGTGGGGACAGCGCACATTCTGGGCTTTTACCCCTTCTATGTACACCCTTCCATGGCTCCCCATGGCCAAATTATTGGGGATGACGCCTGGCTAGAATTCAGGAATGTACAAGGGGAATTTAGGGCTCAGCCAGTTGAGACTCCAGAGGTCACAACTCTCAGCTTTTAGAGTCTTAGAAAGAGTCGAAAGGTCCCTTTCGAGGGGAAAAACAATTACTTTGGGTCTTGAGCCCTCGCTCTGTGCCAGACCCTGTGTTAACAATCAGCCGAGGAAGGCTGTAATTAAGAATTCTATACGTGTGAACTTTATTTGGTGCCCTGCACCATTCTAAACAAACACTGTACATAACTTATGTCACTCAAACCTCACAGCCCTTTGAGGGGAAGGTATTAATCCCCCAGGATACACATGAGGAAACTGAGGAACAAAGAAGCTAAATAACTAGCCCAACGTAGAGGCTGAGAGAGGGGAAGGCCCTAGCCCATTCCACAGACTTCGGAGAAACTAAGTCCCAGATAGGGTGGGGCCTCTCCCAGTGCCTGTCCACAAACTGCTGGAGGATTCCAACCTGGGTATTCCCAGGCCAGCCTGGAGCCATGACCCAGTTCCTACTGAGGATGATTCCTCCGGGAAGCCTCCTCTCACCCACCCCGCAGCTCCCATTCTTAACCGAAGAACCTGTCTGGGGTGCAGAGGAAGCCTGGGAAAGAGAGCTGGGGGACGCGCGGGACGGGAGCGGGAGCTGGGTTTGAAGAGGAGCCGGGCAGAGAAGACCCGGCGATAGAGGACAAGGGTTTGGGAACAGTGGCGCCGCCCTCGCGCCCCGCCCGGTCCCTCTCCCCTGCTCCGGGAGGTTCCACACCTGCCCGGGCCCGCCGTGCATTCCCCGGGTCTGAGCTCAGGCGCTGTCCGCCCGCCCGGCTGGGGTCGGGCCGTGACCCGGAGCGCCCCCTGGCGGCCCCGATGCTCCCTCTGAACGCACCAGTCCTGCGACAGTCCCACGCCCAGCCTGGGCATTTCCTCAGAGCTAGAGGATGTCAGCGTGCGATCTGAGAGTCTTAGAGATTTGGAAATCATGAAATCCTCAAAAGAAGCGCTCGCTGCCAGAATAATAGCACTGGAGGCTGCATAGAATTGTTCAGTTTTTATATTTTAACAGACACAGAGTGTTTCTGTGTATCTCAGATTCTAAAAGACCCAGAGTTTTGACTCCTGCAGTCTCTAGTTCTGAGGCCTCAATTCTCAGAGCCTTAATTCCTCTTGCACTTTCTGGCCAAACAGAAGTAGACTGCTGTTTGTCCTTATTTTACAGATCTGGAAACTGAGGCAGTCTTGTGAAGGTTAGCCATTGGTGCCCCTAGATTAAAACCTTGGAGGTCTGGTCCTTACCTGTGCTCTTACCTGTACTCCGCTATACCATACAGTCACCTAGACTTTTAGGACAGTGGGATCTTGGAATAAATAGAATATGATGCAGGAAGATGGAGAAACTTAGGCTAGCCGAACTGGAGAATTCTAGAACGTTCCAAAGATAGAATCTTGGACTCAGAACTTTCCAACAGTAGATTTTTCAAGCCGTAGAACTTTAATTGCAACCTCAAGGTCCTTAAATTTTCAGAATCTAGGCTTCTGAGAGATTGAAGAGGCCGCTCAGACAAGCTGATTTACTTCCTTAACTACTGGGGAAACTGAGGCCCAAGAAGTGGAGGGTGCTCATCACCCTAGGTTACGCACTCCCAACACACCCAAATGAGCCACCAGCCCCAACAGGTTCTGTTCCGAGGCTTCCCAGGCAGAGGATGGGATCAGCATGTCCCAGCCCGCCCCGCTGCCCACGCCGGAACCTCCAAAGCTCAGCGGTTGGTGGAGCCTGGGGAAGTGGCAGGGC